ATATACATATACATATACATATACATATACATATACATATACATATACATATACATATACATATACATATACATATACATATACATATACATATACATAGTGGAGCGATCAAATACAAACCACCTAATTTGTATAAACCGTGCAAACCTGCATTCAACCAATCATAATTTTTCATTTTATTCATTTTTTTGTAATTATGAGAGATTGATTAATCATTTTTATTGTAGAGGGCGTTAATCATTGATATTATCATCTTCATTATTTTAATTTTAGAGAAATACATGAAACAGTTTCATTAAAATTTCATTAAGCATTATATGAAACAATTTCATAACCATATATGAAACAACTTCATCAAAAAAAAGTATTATATGAAACAATTTCATGAAAAAATTTCATAAGATTAGACAATGAAATCGACGGATGAGGACGATTTGTACAAATTGGATGGTTTGCATTTGATCGCTCATCTATCTATATATATATATGGGGGGGTTGCGCACTTATGAATTTATGTTGACCAGTCTTCAAATGTTTTGAGTCAACTCACATTGATGATTGTCCAATTGTTATATAACATAGGAACCTTATGACGACATCTGCCGATGAAGGGCAATTTTTGAGTATGCTTTTGAAGCTCATCAATGCCAAGAACACCATGGAGATTGGTGTCTACACCGGTTATTCCCTTTTGTCCACTGCTTTAGCTCTTCCTGAAGATGGAAAGGTAAGATGGTAGTTTCAGAGATGTTTTTTATGTGTAACAATGATTCGCGATTAGGTCATCGCGCTAACCCGACAATGAATCTATTGGATGAACTTAAAAGTAAATCATTATGGGTAGCTCAACCGTTAAGGATTTAGGTTTGTTCTTCGGTTGTCCCTAGTTCAATTCTCGTCAAGGCCATCAGAGGTTAATTACCTGGTTGTTAACTTCAAGGCCATCAGAGGTTAATTACCTGGTTGTTAACTTCAAGGCCATGTCAAGAGAACAGTCGAGATGATCACAAAGTTGTCCGGTATCGACGGTTATAGAAAATAAGAATGAACCTAAAATGGCTCAAGAAAGCAATAATTGTAAGATATACTAAATACTGGTTTTGTATGTTTCAGATACTAGCTTTGGATATCAATCGTGAAAATTACGAGATTGGCCTTCCCATCATTAAAAAGGCTGGTGTTGCTCACAAGATTGATTTTAGAGAGGGTCCCGCGCTTCCTCTACTTGACCAAATGATCAACGATGTAAGTATTATAAGTTCTTCTGAGTGGACATTTTTTTACTGTTTGACAAATGCTAAAAATACCTTTTCATCAAGATAGAAACTGAGTTAAGTCCGACTTTTCATGGTATACATATGGAATATTATTTTCTTTATTTACGAACTTATTGATTATCAAATTTATAGGAAAAATTCCACGGGAGTTTTGATTTTATTTTCGTGGATGCCGATAAGGACAACTACCTTAACTACCACAAAAGGTTAATTGATCTTGTCAAGATTGGTGGAGTGATCGGTTATGACAACACCCTGTGGAATGGATCGTTGGTGGCGCCACCTGAAGCCCCACTTCGTAAGTACGTGAGGTACTATAGAGACTTTGTGCTGGAGTTGAACAAAACTTTAGCTATTGATCCAAGGGTAGATATTTGTCAGCTTCCGGTTGGTGATGGAATCACCATATGTCGTCGTGTCAACTGATGAACTTCATGACTAATAAGATGAGATGGCTCATCGGGTCGTTACTAATAGTAGGTGGCATCTTCAAGATTCTCCAAGATTTGGTGACACCGAGTTACATAAATGTGTATAATGTTAAGATGATTTAAATCGATAAATCATTTTCTTTTATGTTTTAAACGTATTTCAATTGTTTTACCACTTCTTTTTTACCAAAGAAATTTGGTTTTGGTCGAAAGTAGATGGATTGTAATCAATATGAAAAGTAAAATTCATACTAAAAAATAAATATGTTTGTTCATGTACTCAAAGCATCTCCAGCAGTTATATTCAATATATTTAACGTCCCGCTGTATCATATGTACAAAAAATGGGTGTTCATTTGAGCTAGCCCGGTAGGTTATATGAGTCAGATGGGCTACGACTTGTAATCCTTCCACTGTTGAAAGGTTGAGGTTTTCGTAGCTCTGTGAAACCAGCCTAACGCATTCCCCCGCATATAAGGTTCGAGTCATCCAAGCCTTCGCTCAAGCAACCCAAACCCACTCCCAACTTGGAATAGGCAAGCCAGATGGTGCACCATCTAACCCGACCAACTGAGCCAGGCCTTAGTCCAACCCATTTTAATACCCTCACTTGAGTTACAGGCAAGAGTTACCAAGCCCGGTGGTGTAACATGTGCAAGAATGCCTTATAAACTTGCTTTTACTCCACTCCACAAGCAATGTGGGAACACATTGTGTTTGAACAACTTTACCTTAAGTTTTAATTTATCAAAATTAAAGCATTGTAACCCGTGGTTCTTAGCCGATCCCTTCAGACGTGTATTTGGTTTTCTAAATTTAGAAAAAAGGGGTTTTTCCCCCCTACTATAATGGCTTTAAAATAATGAATTAGAAGATATTGATAACAATTAAGATGGTATTAAATCGTTTTCTACATTTTGATTTGTATGGTTTGCGTGGACAGTTTGACAATTTCAAAATTAGTTATATTATTAAAATATTTAATATTCAGCCACTTCTAACTAGGGGTGCTCATGAGTTGAGTTGATCGGGTTGAAAACATTTTAACAACCCAACCCAATGCTTGCGGTTTGAAAAATCTTAATCCAACCCAATCCAAACAAAAGTGCATCCCAAATCGTACGGGTTAGTCGGGTTGGTCGAGTTGATACTTTGGTACATTAAAGTATTCTTCTAACCTTGGATATGTTATTTCTCTACTCATAATTTCTTTTTCATCGTCAACCATTTGATACAATTTATCCATACTTCTTACGTATATCACATTCAGTTAATTTTCTCAATTTACGTATATATGTTTACAGTTACTGAACATATATACGAATGAGTTATATAGAGATGTGAATAAATTGAAAAGATGTATATATGAATAGCATACGTGATAGTATAATTGTCTAGTGTATATATTAATAGAAATTCAACAATCATATTAAATTCAAGAAATAAATGGATATCGGGTTTATCGGGTTCATCGGGTTGGGTTGGGTTCAAATAATAATAACCCAATATCAACCCAATACCTACGGTTTGAGAATTTTACTACTCGATTAGACATCAGGTTGTTTCGGGTTGAGTTATTTCGTGTTGGGTTGGGTTGATCGGGTTTTTGAGCACCCCTTCTTCTAACCTTCATTCATCTAGTGGAAAAATAAAAAAAAAGTTTATTTATTATTGAAAAATGGGTGTTCAGTTGAGGTAGCTTGGTAGGTTATATGAGTTTGATGGGTTACAACTTGTAATCCTTCCACTATTGTGAGGTTGAGGTTTTCGCAGCTCTGTGAAACCAGCCTAACGCATTTCCCCGCATCTAAAGTCCGAGTCACCCAAGCCTTCACTCAAGCAACCCGAACCCACTCACAACTTGGAATGGGCAAGTCGTGTGATGCACCATCTAACCCAACCGACTAAGTCAAGTCACAGTCCAACCCACTTTTATACCCTCACTTGAGTTATAGGCAAGAGTTACCAAGCCCGGTGGTGTAACATTTACAAAAATGATTTATAAACTTGGTTTTGCTTCCCTCCAGTGGCAATGTGGGAACACACTATGATTGAATGAGTATAAATTATCTGTTTGAGAAAATTACGTCTTTAGTCCTTGTGGTTTGTTGAAAATTTCTATTTTCGTTCTTATGTTTTTGAAATTACGATTTTCATTCCCAAGGTTTACAATTTTTATTGTTTTCGTCCCTCATATACTTAAAAGTAGAATTTAGCCTTAGGAAGAACACATAATTGTTAAACGTAGGGACAAACCCCGCAATTTCAAAATCACACATTTTTGGAAGTCACAAATTTTAACAAATCACATAGATTTTTGACGAAATTAAGGTTATGATAAAGTGTTTCGAGTTTGATTTGATATTAATTATCTATATCTATTTGTAAATTTTCATGGCGTTCATGTCTGTAAAAATGATTTTTCAATTGTGAAGTTACCATGGTTTTGATTTGTGTGAACGAAATATCCGAATGTAATAAATATGTAATATCGAATAGTTTTAAGTAATGAATTTTTTTTAATGATTTGAGCTCTAATAATTTATAACAATGATTAACAAAAACATTAATTTGCATTTTACCCTAAATCTTTTATCAGAATTAAGGTATTGTAACTCGTGGTTCTTACAATAGCTGATCCCAACCACAAGGGTGGTGCCTGATTGATTTGAGTTCGACTCCAAAGGTCAAAAGTATCAGGAGGTCCCAGGTTCAAATTCAAGGAGGAATAAAAATCCTCATGTGGTCACGGAGGTTCAAATACGATGACTCCGGGCTATCTGCAAAGCAGGTGGTCACCCTGGGATTAATCGGCTCGCATAGCGGGTTGGATATCCAGGTTAATCAAGAAAAAAAAATGGGTGTCCAGTTGAGCCAGTTCAGCAAGTTATATGAGTTCGATGGACTCTGACCTGTAATCCTTCCACTGTTGTAAGGTTCGAGTTTTCGTAACTCTGTGAAACCAACCTAACACATTGTCCCTCATCTAAGGTTCGAGTTACCCAAGCCTTCGCTCAAGGAACCCAAACCCACCCACAACTTGGAATGGGCAAGGCGGGTGGTTCACCATCTAACCCAACCAACTGAACCAAGTCAGAATCCAACCCACTTATACCCTCACTTGAATTATAGGCAAGAGTTATCAAGCCCGGTGACATTACATGTGCAAAAATGGTTTATAAACTTGCACTCCACTCCACTAGCAATATGGGAACACATTGTGATTGAACAGATGTATATTATTTGATTTGATAGATAACGTGTTCACAATGAATTATTTAAGCGTTTAATTAGTATATTGACGAATTAAGGTTACGATATGATCATTTTATATTTTGCCTTCAAATTTTATCAAAAAGGCATTGTAACATGTGGTGCTTACGATAGCCAACACCGATCCAGTTTTCTAGCTTTTGAAATTGGTGTGTTTTTTACTATTTTAGTGTGTTGTTTCATTTATATCTGGTTGACTTTAAAACATGGAATTATAATATAAATATAACTTTAATTCTATCAATTCTTTTTTATTTATTTATTAATAAACGATTTTACGTATTTACTTATCAGTAAAAAGAATTATTACTCAAATTTATAATTTTATGTTTTTATGGAACAACAATATTTCAAAAATGGATCCATAATTCCAAATCATCTCAAATGAGACTATTGATTTTCTCTTATTACTTATAGGAGTGATCAAATGAAAACCACCCTCATTTGTACAAACCATTCTCATACGTCGATTTCATTGTTTAATCTTATGAAATTTTTTCATGAAATTGTTTAATCTTGTGAAATTGTTTCATATAATACTTTGTTTTTTGATAAATTTGTTTCATATATGGTTATGAAATTGTTTCATATAATATTTAATGAAATTTTAATGAAACTGTTTCATGTATTTCTCTAAACTTAAAATAATGAAGATGATAATATCTATGATTAACACAATCCACAATAAAAATGGCTAATCAACCTCTCATAATTACAAAAAAAAATGAACAAAATAAAAAATTATGATTAATTGAATATGGTTTTCATGGTTTATACTAATTGAATGGTTTTTATTTTAACGCTCTTCTCTCTCAATATATATATATATATATATATATATATATATATATAAAAGAAGTATTCATATGGTTGGCTTGGACAATTTGGGTGATACTAAACAGAAAAAAACTATTTATTTAAAATTTAGTATTTTTGTTTTGAGCCATTAAATAGTCATACTCAGATTTTTTTCATTAATCTGGATATCCAACTCGCTATACGAGCTGACTAATATTAGGGCGACCACATGCTTTGCAGGTAGCCCGGAGTCACCACATTTGAACCTTCGTAGCCATAAGAGAATTTTTATTCCTCCTTAGATTTGAAAATCCTCGTGGTCACCGAGGTTCACATGTGGTGACTCCAGGCTACCCACAAAGCAGATGGTCATCTTGGGATTAATCAGCTCGCATAACAGGTTGGAGATCCAGGTTAATTAAAAAAATCTGACTGTGTCGCTACAGATATAGAACATATTTAATGGCTCAAAACAAATATATTACATTTTAAATAAATAGTTTTTTTTTTGTTTATACTATTAAGTGTATTTGTAAGGTGTATCAGTTGATTGTAAAATCGTGGCTTAATCATGTAGAAAAATCAACATGGGAATAAAATATATTTTTTTCAATTGAAATCGACCTTTTGAGAAAGAAACCCGATATGCTTTTAGCCGAATTACATCGAGGCATTTTTTAAGCTATTATGTTGATTTTGATGAGCTTTTTTTACTTTTTTATTGAATTTAAGAGACTTTTTTTTCGGTTGATATTCCTTGTATTTTTAAATATCCCCGAATACATCTTAACATTTAGTAGATGCATCTTGTATATCCACAAAAGTATCCACTTGCCAAAGTCAATTAAACAAGTACATATAGGCGTCCCCAGTGGACTACTGGTCGAGAACACACGAGGCCTCTAATAATTTATTTTAATGGTACAGATATTACGACATTATGATATATACAAATAGATACACATTTTAACAAAAATTGCGTCTAGCCTAGTTCGTAATGGTGCTTAGTAGTTAGTGGATTGTTTGTTTACCTCTTGATAGTTCTATTAAGAGGCAACATCTGAACCGTTAAGAGGTTAATCTTGTTTGGTAAAAAAAGGTCTGCATCTTAATAATTCTAAAATCCTCTAAATAATTTTGCATCATGAGTCTTCCTTAACCATTCAGCGTCCTAATTTCATCGTAAACAATTACCAAACAATTATATTTT